CCCCCCGGGACCCCGGCCCGCGCGCTCGTGTCCAGGACGCGGCCTTTGACCCGCGGGCTCCGCGCCCGGACGCCGCCACCAGGGGCGGGGCCCCGTGAGCGCTCGACTTAGACGCTGTAGCGGGGGAGACGCTTCTCACAGCCAGGGCCCCCGTGCCACCCAGCATCTGGGGAGCCCGGGTGGGAACCGCGAGCCCCGCCGTGGGTCCTAGGTTTAGGGTCCCCCGTTCCCAAAGAAAGGCCTTGTGTCATTCACACGCTACGCAGTGTCCTGCCTCAGTTTACCCCGCAGTGCCTGCCGCTGTGAGTTGGGCCTGGTGGTGTTGGGGATCGGGGGTGGCGGTGCCTCCCGCGGGGAAGGCCAGGGTGGGGTCGCGTCACCCGAGGGTCCTGGCACCCCCGCGGGTGCTTTCCCGCCGTGATCACTCGCGCGCGTCCCAGAAGCGCCCCGCCGTGCGGCTCCGGGGAGAGGTCTGCGTCTCGGGCAGCCGCTTCCGGCGATGCCAGGCCCCACAGTCTACACCGGGCGCGACCCGGGCGAGGCGGGAGGCAGCGGGACGCTCCGGAGCTCCGGTGATAGTTCCTGGGGGCCGTGCGGACCCGGATCACCCGCGAAACCCTGGTGCGGCGCGACGTGAGAGCTGGCAGGGGCCCGGGAGGCGCTGCCTTCCCCGGGCTCAGTCGGGCGCGAGCGGCGGGGCGCGCTGGTAATCCCAGCGCTGGAGGAGGCAGGAGGAGCGGGGCCGGAGGCGCATGCCGGTAATCCCAACGCTCGGAAGGCTGAGGCAGGAGGACTGCGAGTTCTAGTGTTGCCTGGGCAATTTAGTGAGACTGTCTCAAACAAAATAAAAGAAAGAAAGAAAGAAAAAGGAAGAGTGGAGGTGTAGCTTGATGAGAGAGCGCCCCGTTCCGTCCTCAGTGCTGGGGGGCAGGGAATGCTGGGGCCTCTGAGGCTCCCTGAAAACACCGCAGGGGACTGTCACAGCTTCCCACGGTGGCCCACGCGGTGTGTCCCTAACTTCTACCTTTGCTGTCGCTCTCCTTTTCTATTTCCTCGGCCCCAGCTCGCTCTGCAGAGCCCGTCTCTGTCCCCCTCTTCAGTTCTGCTTTCTTGAATAAACTTTGCCACCGCTTAAAACAACACAACGCAACGCAAAACTCGGGAGCGACGGTGCTAGCGCAGCTGCTGGCCGGGCTGGGCTGCGCGTGCCTCTCCCTGGGCGCGGGCGCTCATCTGTACCCCAGGCTGGCGCGCCCCGCGTCCTCTGCGTCCGCGGCCCCTACTGCACCCTCAGGCCCACCTTGGCCCTCGGAAGTGGCGGTCCAGTCAATGACCCCTGTGCCTGCAGCCCGTCCCGGCCTGCTCGGGCCACCTGGCGCATTGCGGGTGGCGGTGTCCCCTACTGGAGGTGCTGAGGCCTCGAGGGTCCCCGCGTCGCCCCGCTAGGCTCCCAGGGCGACTGCCTGGCGTGAGACGGGCGCAGGAGCGGTAACGACAAGTGACACCACCAGAGGGCGCCGTCGCCCCGCGGACGCACGAGGGCACGCCCCCGGCGACATCTCCCCGGGGGAAACTGAGGCCAGGAGGAGGGTCAGAGGGCAGGCCGGTGACGGCATGGCGGCGGGGCGGAGCGCGGGGTGCGGTGATCCGTGCGCGGCCCTGGGCCCCGCCTGATCTCCCGGCCCTTGGGAGTGGAAAGTGAAGTGGATTGTCCCCCACTTGGCATGTGTCTTTTTTCTTTTGGGAGGTTTTTGTTTTGTTTTGTTTTGTTTTTCCGGTACCGGGAATCGAACTCACGACCTTGCGCTTGCCAGGCAGGCGCTGTGCCGCTGAGCTAAATCCCCAGCCCCTGGATTGTCCCCCACTTGGACCGGACGTGCTCCGAGTCACGTCTGCAAGTGGCAGCCGGTTGATGATTAAGCCGAGCGCAGGCTGCTTGGCTCGGTGACCTCAGTTTCTCCGCTGTCTTCCGGGGCTTGCGGGGACCCGGCAGAGTTGGCGCGCAGCCGCGCGCGGCGGGGGCGTGTGTTGTTTTGCTCCACGCCTGAGCGCGAGGCCACGCCCCTCCTCCTCCCTATTGGTCGGGTCCCCGCGGGTGGGCGCGGCTTGCGCCTCCGGTCCCGCCCTGCTCCCTGCCCTATAAAAGCAGCGCCCGCGCGGGTCGGCCCTGCTGGCCCCGCAGACGCTCGCGTTTGCTGCGCCTTCGTGCGTGCCACGATTCGCGCCCCTTGGCCGCGGGTTCGAGGCCCGGGTCTGCGCGCCGGGTGCGCTCGCTTGCCCGCCGGGGCGCGATGCTGTTCGACAAGGTGAAGGCGTTCGCCGTGCAGCTGGAGGGCGCGGCGGCGGGCGCGGAGCCGGT